GCTGCAACGTATCAAGACGTAAATCTAAACTTACCCAGACATAGTTGGACTCTCGTCAACGAAACGCCTAGACTCTGCAATTCTGAACATGTGCAGGTGGAAGCTATTCCACCTAAGTGTCGAAATCACGATGCGCTATCAGGACGGTGTTGGGGTTCTGGTAAAACCCAACCTGGCCGACAGAAACATGGAATGGAAGAATTTCACCGGAACAGTGGCCATCCTTCAACTGAAGTTACAAAAGATTAAAGCGTTGATGTTGTTACAGGTGTACGCGCCCATGAAGAACATAAGTCCTTTTTTGAGGAAGCGGAATGTGCTCTCTACTAAACGTAGACTATGGAGTCCTTCATTCTAAAGGTGATTTCAATGCGCATGCCAGAGAAGACCTTAAAAGTGGAACGGCGTGATTACAAAAATGGTCCTAGCGACCTCAACAATATCGGCATGAAGTTGTTGCGGTTTTGTGCGAAATTTGCAAACAACATCGCACGACGGTTTGAACAGATCCCAGTGATGACAACTGATATTGAATCGGAGTGGCAGCACTTTAAGAGCGGCATACTCGAGGCTGCCGCCGAATGCTGTGGATATAAACAGATTGGCCTGCCGCCTGGAGGTCAGAAAACAACTTCCTCACTGACACGAGAAGGACAACTAGCAGTCAAATAGAAGTTGCATTCAAGAAGCAGCTTGGAAGCAAAGAGCCCTCTATCTGCATGCGATACGTCGAAGCACGCAAGGCGGCAGCGAAAGCAGTGGCGAATGTCAAAGCTGATTCCTGAGACAAATTCGATAAGAAGTTGGAGTCGATTTTTCAGAGGGCAAACAAGGTATTCTGGCATACTATCAGCTGGCTCAGAGGTGAAAAGAAGAACAGTCTAAGTGTTAAAGGACAGGTCTGGAATATCTCTTACCGAGGAAGAAAATATTCTTCGGCGATGGAGAGAGTACTCTGAAGAACTCCCTAACGTCGAGCAACCGCAGAAAGACTCGCCTGTAGAGCAGCAGGGAGCAGATATTACTATTTCTGCAGAAGAAATGACAAGCTATGAAAAGCTACAAAAGTGGAACGGCTGCTGGAATTGAGGAAATCCGCACAAAAATGCTCAAAGCATTATGCGAACA